TGTAAAAAGAGATTAGTGTTAATCCTGAATCAGGACATCAATTTGCAGCATTGACAAAAGTCGTGGTACTCGGACCACGCAACAACAAATCGAAACTGGAAGAGATTATGGACAATATTTTTTCCACTTTCCTCTTATTCCTCTATTCTAAATGAGCAGCATCAATTTAATCACATTTTAATGTTCACAGGTGATTGTAGTTGTTTTTGAATGTATTTACAATACAGTTATTTTCTAATCAAACTTTCTGGTGTTTAATGAAGGGATTCTAAGAGCTCAATTAAAAACTTGGGGCATGCAGGTTTGTTCTCCAAACCACAGTTGTTTAAATCCTATCCCGCATTTCTTTTACCACAGCCAGTAGGATATGTCAGGATCAAACATGTCATAACTGAAATGTTGCTGAGAAACTGCAGAGACTCCAGTGGTAAAGGTTCTTTTTTAAATCACCTTCATCAACATCAGAAGGGCCTCGATGAGAGCTCCACGTGTGAGTGCAGTCTGGCCGGCCCCTGACCCTTAGGGCGAGCTTCATTATTGAACAGGACAGGTTTTAGCACTAATATAAAATATTAAAATCTTTTAACAGCGTGTCCAACTACAAAAGTGAGCAGTGAATGCGAGGAGTGTAGGGGTTTTTATGCAGACATCACACATAGTAATTTGTTTGATATCGGAGAAAGTGATCAAACTGTAATACATACTTAAATTGATTAATTGTGGCACCAGTGAAAAATTCACAACTGATGACTTTCATCATGTGTTATCAATTAATTGACTCATTATTGATTAATTTAATTGACTCCTTCATTGATTAATTAGTTAATTGACTAATTAATGAGTTCCTATGTGTAAATATTATAAACATATTTTATTCATTGTTATAAGTTTCTGGAGTCCTCTCAAACCAAGTTAGGTCTGGTTAATGTTCAAGGCGATCCTGGGAAGGACAGCATCCATAAAAATTAAAAAAAAGACTATTGTTCCCTGCATAAACTACGGTAAGATCTAGACCTAACAGGTTCTGGTAATTATGTTTTTAATGTAAAATAGTTAAGCGAGGAAAGGGCATGACTGATTATAATGGCTCAAGCCTGAAGTCAAACTAACTGTTCCAAGGTTCATTCATGTGGAACCTGCTGAAGGCGAGCTACGTGTTATAAACGGTACATTGGCTTTTAATGAGTGTGCGTCTATATATGAAGAGCTGAAAAATGCTTTCTGACACAATGCCCTCGCAACAGTCCCCACGTGTCGGCTTCCTCCACCACGCAGTCCTCGTCCCTTTCTGTCGTCACAATTATGAAAATGTTATTGTCCTGTGGTGATTTCAAAGCTGTGTGAGATTGTTGCATCACTACTTGAGTAAACATGCCACTTTTTTTTTCTTTTATGTTTTTTAACTTTGGCAGCACAGACAAGTGACGTCGGAGAAGCTGCACCTCAACTATTTAAAAATGGGTTTTCAAAAAGAATGACAAAGACAAAAACGAAATCAGAAGCAATTGATACAATTTCAATTTGAGAATGATGTAGGACGGGAAAAGCATCTGTACTTTTTGTTGTTGTTTGGAGCACATTTGGTGGTAATGTCATTCACACCGGATCATGCGTTGCGTCAACTTTCAATGCAATGTCAATGGTGACGAGCATTCGAGGGTGGAACTGCATGTGCGTCTTGGGATGCACGCACGGACTGCTCGGTAGAGACGCACGGACTGCACGGCAAAGGCGCGGCAGAAACACAGAAGCGGACAATCGACGCACGCAGGAGATACATTTTGCTGAGCGTTTCCTTGGGCGCTTGTCCAGCGACCAATCAGAGCGCTGCAAAGTGGTCACGGGACATTAGCGGTCTGAGCGAGCAGACTGAACATACTGTAAACAGCCAAAACAGGAGCTACATCAGGACTAAACCAGGGTCGACAATGAGGGACATAGTGCTTGCTAACATGTGAGTTTTCATGCTCCCGTGAATTTATGCAACTGCTTTGAGCGTGTTCGCAGTTGCGGAAGCACTGAAGTATGCGTTTAATAAAAGTAACATATGGTGCATCTCTTTGAACACATACTGCTGTTATATAAAGTCTCTGGAAGGTCTCTGGACACAGAGACGCTGCAGGGCTCCTCTGTTGGAGAAGAACTTTACACAAAAAGCCGCTGTCTTAACTCAGTTAGCATCAAAGTCCGCCCGTTACTTACGCCACTTCCGGTGAGCGCCACCGCTGGCCAGGACTTCCGGTGTGAACACCCCGCGTCTGAAAACTAGAGAATGGGCGTCTGGTGCGTGAGGCATCAGCGTTCCAGCGTTGGCGGTGTGAATGCACCTTTACTCTATGCACCGTTATTATTATAACCTAACCCAATCTTTATTTCAGACTTAAATTCAATGTACCTTTTTGGTTTTTAGTAGTATATTCCTGTTATAATCTTTTTTAAAGAATCATATTTTTTTAAACATGAAACCATCTTAATATTTGTTTAAACTTTAGTCGTTTTACTCTGAAGAGCAAGGCAAGGCAAGTTTATTTGTATAGCATAATTCACACACAAGGCAACTCAAAGTGCTGAACAAAACAAGATAGCATTAAAAAATATAACATCCCTCAGTTGTATTCACAGCTAAACTCAACTGTTTTTAACCTGGTTTTAAACATTGTCGAGGAAGAGGCCTGTCTCGCACTTTCAGGAAGATTTTCCCACAACCATCAACAGTCGTCAGTTAGCCTTTCAACAAACTGTTTTTGTATTTAGTGAAAGTGAGTAAAGGTTAAAAAAAAATAACAGAACATTTTAGGGGGGCATTTTTACAGAATCCCATTGGTTTGAATGGGAGCAGTAATTCTGGGAGTCTCGGTGTTAACAAGAGGACACACAAACATTGCTGAGAGTGGAGGCGACATTAAGAACATTGCACTGGCTCCCGTCTCATAAAAACTTCAAATCCACATGCCACCTTCTTATTCTGTTCATTCAAATAGGCTTAAAGAAAAGTGACATAACACAAACACTCTCACTTTGGAGAGATCAAACACAGATTTTTCTTCTTAACTGAGAAATCAAAACACATGAACAAATCCTTCCACCCACAAATGAATGGCATCAAATAGAAAGCTTTGGGAGCAGCTTGGGAAATATATCCACTCTTTCACAGCCCTGGGAAAAAGATCAAGTTTTTAGGTCGATCTCAGTCAACACACTGATGAAAGATGAAGGTTATTACACATTGAAGCACATGTGTTACTGTCACATTACTGAGTCACGTTATCCCAGAACCTCATGATGCTAACATGAACAGATGTACACACACAACTAATACTTGCACTAGAATATACAGGATATTATACTTGCATAATCATGCTAATCTCAGGGGTTTTTGTTTTTAAGTTTTGCTTGTCCGTCATTAAAGTTGGATATTTTTCAGACTTCATTCCTTGTAATGCCAAAGATAGAGATTTTATACTGTTTTTTTATGCTAGAGTTAGAGATTCTATTTTATTTTATTATTAATTTATCTTGTGTTGTGTGCTCCTCATTCCTACTGTTCTGTAACTTGTGGTGCAACACTGAAATTTCCCCACTGTGAGACTGTCGTGGAATTTCTGCACATACCGAGAGCAAAAATAATGTAAACAATTAAGAGCTGTAATACAATCAAAGTGTGAGTTTATTCATTAGTAAATGTGCACATATACAATGTATAACTAAAAACCGCGGTGGTAACGGTATCGGTTCGAAGAAAGGATCTCTCAACCCTTAATCTATCCTATCCTATGTATTCCCATGGTAATCTATAACAGCCTGTGACATCGACATTTTCACACTGACAGATAGAGCCGTACATTTAGCACATTACGAACAGGTCTTAATAGCTTTAAGACATATGAACACATCTGTTACTGTGGCTCCTATAATCAATACTAGTGAACTCCTCTCTTTCTCTGGCTCTTGGCGGAGCTCATTGGTCTCGTGTGTATTGGCTGCAGATAGCTCCAGATAACCCTTCCCCTGCTCTACACATCCTCAGAGCACACAGCCTTCACGATGACTGCAGGGGCCAGACTAATGTTCCTGCAGCAATTTCTGCTTTTGTGCTGCCAGGGATATGTGAAAAGAATCCATTTCATGATTGAAAGCATGGGCTAGGAACAAAGACGCTGATACAAATGAATAACAATGCTTTATTTATTAAAGATGTTGACCAGTTATAATGACTGCATGATAATAGAGTGTTAGATGAGGCATGTGGGGGAGACAGGACACAGTGACACCGCCGTTGATCTCATGACAATGTGGCTGACAGAAGTCTGTGTCAAAAAAAACAAACAGCCGCACTTAAGTTTAGCCCTCAATACTGAGCAGCTAATAACGTGCTAATTATTGTATTCTTTACGGTTAGTTATTCATTGGTATTTATAACGCTCTTATTATTCTTTATTCTACATGGCCTTGTTCAACATCTAACGAACTACTGACTGACACTTTCCCATGTGGGTTAGGGCTATGGTTAGGATTAGGGTTAGAGTTAGTGAGCCCCCCCCCCCTTACAACAGTGGCTCAGTGGGTTGTGGGTTCAATCTCCCCGCGAGACCTACTCCAGCTGTCGTGGTGTCCCTGGGCAAGACACTTATCCCCACATTGCCCGAAGCCACTGAAGAACCAAGGCTGTGTCTCCATTGATGGAGCAGCCATCACATACGGGCAGCAGCGCACATGGTGTCACGTGGGTGAAAAACAAATGAGGCCCAAAAGGCAAAAACCGCAAAATGATGGATTTAATGAAAGTAATACAAATCAAGACCTACCAAAAACACAGGGAACGGACAGAACCAAAACAGACTACGAATGACAATGACGGAACAGGGAGTGAAGGAACACACAGGGCTAAATACAAGACTAACGAGACACAGGTGAGACAGATGAGGGCAGGGCAGGTAATCAGACAACAGATAAACAAAATAAAACAGGAAATAAACTTAAACCATGACAGTACCCTCTCCTCAAGGGACGGATCCCAGACGTCCCAAAAACAAAACCAGGGAGGGAGGAAGGAGGGGGACTGTAGGAAGGACCGGGGCGTGTAACCGGCACGAGAAGCCGGGGCCGGGACGTGAAGCCGGGGCCGGGACGTGAAGCCGGGGCCGGGACGTGAAGCCGGGGCCGGGACGTGAAGCCGGGGCCGGGACGTGAAGCCGGGGCCGGGACGTGAAGCCGGGGCCGGGACGTGAAGCCGGGGCCGGGACGTGAAGCCGGGGCCGGGACGTGAAGCCGGGGCCGGGACGTGAAGCCGGGGCCGGGACGTGAAAGCCGGGGCGTGAAGCCGGGGCCGGGACGTGAAGCCTCAGAGCTGGAGCAGGAACTTGAGCTGGGACTGGAGCTAAACGGGTACGGAAGGCCCCCTGGATGGAGAACAATATCCAGCGGAGCCAAGTCAGGGACGAAAGCCTGCAACCACCCAGGACGGAGCAAAGTGTCCTGCAGTGGTCCAGGACACAGACAGACAGACAGGGATGCGTCCAGCTCCTGCAGCAACTCTTGAGACCAGTCGGGGACAAAGGCCAGAGATGACAGAAAGCAGTCTGCTTGGGCCTTGTGTGGTTCCGTCATTCTGTCACGTGGGTGAAAAACAAATGAGGCCCAAAAGGCAAAAACTGCAAAATGATGGATTTAATGAAAGTAATACAAATCAAGACCTACCAAAAACACAGGGAACGGACAGAACCAAAACAGACTACGAATGACAATGACGGAACAGGGAGTGAAGGAACACACAGGGCTAAATACAAGACTAACGAGACACAGGTGAGACAGATGAGGGCAGGGCAGCTAATCAGACAACAGGAAGTACAACCAAAGAAGACACAGGGATAACACATTTCAAAATAAAACAGGAAATAAACTTAAACCATGACACATGGAGCACACACAATATACAATACAGTAGAAGTAGCTGCTATGTTTCTTAGCTAGCTGTAAATACTTCAATATATCAATGTATTGATATATCTCTTTCTATCTATATATATATTGCAATGATATATACATATCTGGATGTAAATAAAGGGACATGATTAATACCTATAGCACCATCATATGGTAAATCAGGGGTCTTCAACCCCTTCCCCTGGAGAACATACTTATATTATATTGGGACAAAAGAGAGCAGTTGAAAGAAAGTCAACGTGCTACAATGAATTAGGTTGTATCTCAGTATCTTTCTAAAAATAATTTTATGGATTTTAAAACATGTTTTAGCTTTATGTCATGCATGCTGTAGAAATGTATTTATTTATATTATTTGTTCCATTGGGAAATATTGTTTCAAGACTGTCAAAAGGTTTGTCTTTACAATGTAGTCTTATAGTCATACAAAAAGAATCAATCAGTGTTTTATTAGTGTTCTAAGCTAAAGTAAGGCTATGCATGTGCATTGCCACATATGGATCTTAATATCTGGTCCCTTCCAAGTAAAAAATAAAATAAAATCACAATTTAAAACTAGAATCCGTGGTTAACCCCAAACAATAACAGCTATTTCAGGCAGGAAGCAGAACATTGCAGGGCACAAGCATCACTGTGCCAGTCTGTCAAACTATTTCTATCTTGGGAAATGTCCGCCACAACAGGACAGCGATGGACTCACAAGGAGAGTTGGACACTCCCATGGTGAACACTAAGTGGGTGATGACACTGTGACGGACACTTTTTCTCTGCTCTTTAGAGAAGCAGCAGAAGCAAGTATTTTGTAATTTGTTCCATTTCAGAGTAAAACAAAAAACACGATTTGCAGTGACTCAGCTCAGTGTAAGATTTGTTCAGAGAAAAACAAATAAAAACTGCAGGATCCGTGTTTGAATGAATCCGTTTTCTGCAGTTAGTGTGTTTTCCCTTTGTTTCACTTGAAACCATACTGACAAAAGCCGCGTTTCCACCGCAGGAACTTCGGGGTAATTTTCCAGGGCCAGCCTCGTCGGTGCACGTGTCCACTGCAGACTTTCCCAGGCCATTCAGACTTTATGGGCCAAGGTCCCTCCTGTAGGATCCGTGGCCGCTGGCATAAGTGGTCGGCGCTGATGCTAAGCTAGCGCAGGCTCAGACGCCAGCAGAAAGCAGCAAAACAACCGGCATTCAGCAGCATTAGCCCAGCAGCGTTAGCCTAGCAGACACCACTGGAAACAACGAACAACAGCACGGCATTAATTCAGACGGGGTTTCAGGCATCGCGGCGAAATGAAAAGATATATTAAGACATATCAGCTTCACCTCGAAGCAATGAGGATTCATCACACTCCAAAACAAGCTGTGAAAAGTTTAAAAAAACTGAAGGAGGATTATAAAAAAAGCTCAAAGACAACAACCGGACCGGTTACGACCGTAAAATAAACAAATGAGTTTGGCGCATGGATCTATAATAATAACGGGTTTGGCGTAATGAGTTTCACTTATGCGGCATTTGAAACTCATGACGTTGCAGAGTGGTCCTACTGCAGTGGAGATACAGACACTGAGAGGGCCGAGGGAGAGGACGGTTCCTGTAAAAAAACCCGGCACTTTTTACCTGGAACTCCTGCTGTGGAAACGCGGCTAAAATGAACACTTATGTTGCCGTTGTGTGTAGGGCAGTTCTGTAGAAACATGCCCAGATGTTGAAAGGTAAGTGGACTAAATTAGCATTAAAGCCATGGGAAAGTTCCTTCTTCACATGCTGTAATTGGACCTCCTTATCACCTAAATGTTGCCCTGGAGACATGAACACATCTCATCCCTCACCACATCTGTTTGGCACTGAGAGATAAGCCAGGGTTCAGCAGTGTGCTCTGAAACAGGTGCAGCTAAGTGAGGGTAATTTTCTGACTGCGTGAGTGGAATCGGTGTGTGTTTGTATCAGCAGCGAGAGAAACAGAGGTGTCGTACATTCAGAAGAATTGACTGACACAAGGAGCAAAGGTGAAAGCTAATATTATTCTGCTGCTGTGAGTTGCACGCTACTATGGACAGAGGTTAATTATTTGAACCGTGTGCACGTCCGGAACTTAGAACGGAAAAGGGTTATAGCTGCTAATGCCCTATACCTGCCGAGTTTAAATCGCACATCGGAAAAGAATGGGCTGTCACCTCACCAAAAGGAGAAATATTACAATTTACTGGGACACTTCTTTCACTCAATAAATGTCAGAAAGGGTTTTAGATCTAACGATTTATGACATAGCAGGTTTCTAAGGTTTAGAACTCTCTCCAAGACAAGAGCTGTTACACTTTGTCTATCTATTATTAAAGTGAACACTATTCCCAAAGGAGACATTTAGGCTAAAAACGGCACTTGACAGCAATTGCTGTCATCAAAATGACAAACTGACGGTGATGTGTTCCTGTCTGTAAAAGGCACTCGTTTCAGTATTTGGTTGTCTTACAAATGTAAAATAGATTGTGGGTTTGAGGGCATTTTTGGTGCCAAATGCTTTCTTTCCTTTATGAATTGAATGTTACACCGGAAAACACCAGAGAGGTCTTTTGGTACATACACGGGGGCTATCCACTTAAAACAGTGGCTGAGTGGGTAGCACTCTCGCTTCTCAGTCGGAACAGGGCCTTTCTGAGTGGAGTTTGTATGTTATCCCTGTGTCTGTGCAGGTTTCCTCGGGGTGTATTGGTTTCCCCAACCACTAAAAACATGTACAATAGGTCTGGCAAGTACCTCCTGTTCGGCGACCTCACTCCCATCTCTTTGTGGAGTGAGAGACAAATGCCCACAATTGTAAAGCGCTTTGAGACTCTGGTCTGAGAAAGGCGGTATATATATATATATGTGTGTATATGTATAATTATATATATATATATATATATATATATATATATGTGTATATATATATATATATTTATATAATATAAAAGATTACTTACAATAAGTCAAGCGATTACATGCTTAAAGATTTTATATTATGAAACATTGAGCGGAAACATTCCACACAAAAACTAAAGTAATTTTAACACAATCACCACCGTCTTTTTTTCTCTTGATGATCACAGTGTTACATTTTGGTGCTCGACCAGAAAAAGGTGCCTTGCCCTCTCCAGGTGGGTGGAGTGGTGCTTTCTAAGTAAGTAAGTAATCTTTATTTATATACTGCCTTTCACAGACCAGATTCTTAAAGCGGTTTACAGTTGTGGGCATTTGTCCTCTCACTCCAGACAGAGATCGGAGTGGGGTCGCCAATTCAGGAGGCGCAAGTGTAGGAGTTCAAGTATCTCAAGGTCTTGTTCATGGTTGAGGTGATTATGGAGCGTGAGAACCGAAAGAACGATATTGCAGATACAAACGGTTGAAATGAGTTTCTTCTGCAGAGTGGCTGGGCGCTCCCTTAGAGATAGGGTGAGGAGCTCAGTCACACCCTATCTCTCAGAGAGGAGCTCAGAGTATAGTCACTGCTTCTCCCCGTCGAGAGGAACCAGTTGAGGTGGCTCGGGCATCTGTTACTGATTTCTCCTGGACACGGGCACGTCCCACTGGGAGGAGACGCCGGGGAAGACCCAGGACACGCTGGAGGGACTATGTCTCTCTCTGGCCTGGGAACGCCTTGGGGTCCCCCGGACGAGCTGGAGGAAGTGTGTGTGGATAGGGAAGTCTGGGCGTCTCTGCTTGGACTGCTGAACCCGCGACACGGCAACAGATGAAGCGGAAGAAAATGGATGGATGGATGTTAGTGCTTTTGTATTCTCAAAAATAAATGAATATAAAAAAACGAAATCTCTTGGTGATCAATAATAACAACAGTCCAATGCTGGTCATACACTGTGTGAACTTCAGCCTGCACTTCTCACCTCATGATGAGCTCTACACCACAGAGAGGCTGGGTGAGGGTTGGGGGGGTGTGGAAGGTACGTTCTTAGCACACACAAGCCACAAAGAATTTAACAAATGTAAAGTTCATACTGCAATTATGGTTTGCTAATGTTTTCATTGGATGTGTTTCGAGTGTAAACATGGAGGAGACCGCGTCCCACAGAAACCTGTACCCAGAGCAGCGGCCCCACACCTTCCTGCTCCACTGCTGGCCACATACAGACGTCACAGATACTTGTCTCGTATACTGACTGCCTAAGACTCACTGCACAGTGTGAGTTTGAGGACAATATTGCAGGTCTGTAAATGGCATGTATCCCAGCAGTGCATGCCCATCTCAAAGTGCTTACTGTTCTTGAACTGTTCGTTGCAACACTGAAGCAATCACCTTCTTGTGTATGTGTCATCCTGCAGTGCCACAAAAAAATCCACAACATTCATAAAATGTTATCAGTTTGTTGGTGGCACATGTTATGAATGTTATCAGTTAACACTTTGTGAAAAAAAAAACCCACAAAAAAAGTGTTTTTGAGAAGAATGATCCCTGAATAGCAGGGTCACCATAACTCTGGAGATCTCCTTGAACCCCGCCATTGTGAATATGTATATGTCAGAGCATACCTATTCATGAATCTGATTACATTTTCACATGTTTAGTTGAGGAGAATGGATGGATATAATATTACATGGACCGTGCTTTACTGTAGCAATTGGATTTGAGTGTTGGCTTCACTGGACTCTGCTTACACAACTTCATGTGATTTGGATTCAGCTCGTCCAAGTGGACATGGGGGCTAGAATTACTTTGATCCCTGTTTGTGAATATGAGAGAATGTATCAAAGAGCCAACACTATTGGTCCATTAGTATTCAAACCTTCTCCAGTGAAATGCATTATACGCTGAAATAGTTTTCTTCCCTTCCAATTTATACCGTAGTTCAGTGGTTCGATACCGACCAGAGATATTTGGCCTCACCTCCATACACAGCAACCCTCGAACCCGGTGGTGGACACCGGCAGTAAGGGATGCCGTCAGGCTGAAGAATGAGTCCTATTGAGCAATGATGTGGGACTCCTGAGGCAGCTGTCCAGTACCAGCAGGCCAAGCGTGCCGCGGCCCTGGCTGTTGCAGAGGCAAAAACCCAGGATTGGGAGGAGTTTGGAGAGTACATGGAGCATGACTATCGGTCAGCCTCAAAGAGATTCTGGCAAACCGTCCGGCGCCTCAGGAGTGGGAAGCAGTGCTTTGCCAACACCGTATATGGTGCGGGTGGAGAGCTGCTGACTTCGACAAGGGATATTGTCGGGCGGTGGAAGGAATACTTCGAGGTTCTCCTCAATCCCCCCGTCACGTCCTCCGTCCAGGAGGCTGAGGCTGAGGATGCTTGGGCGGATACTTCCATCTCCCTGGCTGAGGTCCCCAAGGTGGTTGGCAGCCTCCATGTTGGCAAGGCGCCGGGAGTGGATGAGATCCGTCCTGACTATCTAAAGTCTCTGGATGTTGTAGGACTGTCTTGGCTGACACGTCTCTGCAACATCGCGTGGCGATCGGGGGCAGTGCCAATGGAGTGGCAGACAGGGGTGGTGGTCCCTCTCTACAAGAAGGGGGATCGGAGGGTGTGTTCCAATTATCGTGGGATCACACTCCTCAGCCTCCCCGGTAAGGTCTACTCCAAGGTACTGGAGAGGTGGCTACGGCCGATGGTCGAATCTCGGATTCAGGAGGAGCAGTGTGGTTTTCGTCCCGGTCGCGGAACACTGGACCAGCTCTATACTCTCCATCGGATACTCGAGGGTTCGTGGGAGTTCGCCCAACCTGGGTCC